ACATTATGAGATGATCACCTCGATAGGTCTAGTTACCATCTGCCACCATTTAAAGTTATTGCAATATTAATGACTATATTTCCTATTCTGTACATTACATCCCCATGACTTATTTATTTAATAACTGGAGGTCTGTGCCTCTTAATCCCCTTCACCTACTTTGCCCATCCCCCTAACCCCTAGGAATTTTTTTTTAATCATGGACTTAGAAGACAAGTTTTGAAAGCAAGCCTAAATAAGCAGAACTCAATCTTTCACACATTTCCATATAATTTAGATAACTTCTTAGATTTTAATGAAGAAAGGCTGATCTAGATCTCAGTCCATAGAGCAAGCATGATTTAATAATTTATCAATTCAGACTTCTCATCAAATAAGAAATAAAACAACAAAAGTTAAGAAACAACATAGGAAGCCAGCAGTAAACTGTCAAACATAATTTTTACCATTAACTTTAACTTACCTCTACAAATTTGACTATAAATTATTATAGGCATTGCTAAAATCAAGTAAATGACACTTTGCTTAATAAGTTATTTTCTTCTCTCACCTTTTTGGGAGGGTCGCTCTGCTAGAGCTGCGGTTAGCACTAGGGGGCCTGTTTATTCATATGTAAAATAAAAGTGCTGGAGGGGCTCTCTGGCTCCCAGGTCTTTTTAGCTCTAGAACCCTGAGCACTGGTGAAAGAACAAAAAGGACCATCCAGAATACTGATCACTAAGGTAACCAGCCAGCCAGTAAAACAGGTCCTCTGCATAAACATAAATGTAAAATCAAAATCTTCCGGGAGAGCTCTTCCTGCAGAAAAATGACTAAATGTTGAATTCTCATGTTCAGCTCATACACAAAGAAGCCTGAACTCTTGTACCTACTTAATCTTCACCAGTGTTCTCTAAATGCTTTTGACCCAGTATTGCCAACAGTGAAAAGGATTTGTGCATGCCAATGTAAATGTATATTTATTCATGACTGAGAAATCTATTATGCTCTAACAAATTACATCAGGAACATCATGAACTAAAAAATAAAAAGTAGGGGACGAGGTTTTAAAAACACAAAGCAATAGAAGTTTTCCTGTTTTCTTCCTATGGAAGAACGTTTCCCTGCTTGGACTTTCTTGCTCATTTCCTGGGGATGAGCACTGTACTTCAGAGCTCTGGTCAAAGCCACCGCACCACCACTGGGTGCTTTTGAGATGCTCCCAATAATTACACCAAGGTTACAACCTATATCCTAAACACTTAGGTATCACTTTCCAAAATTTCCTCCTTGTCCTTTAATTTAAACACCACTGTTTGCAGAATATGTTCTTTAAGCTGTCTTCAAAGAAGTTCAATACAACAACCTAACTGAACTCTAATCCGATTCAGAGCAGGGCTTGCTGGCTTGAGAAGGGCCTCAGACGGTGAATGTCCCTTATGGGAAGTACATCTGGGTTTTCTTTAGAGATTTATAGCCCAATAGAAAGATGAGAAGGTTCAAGTTAAAGCAATGCCTCTCTCTTTTTCCTGGCAAAAATACCAACATGAGTGAGAATACTATCTGTCATTATATCTGATAGCAAAAGGCAGGTTCTAAAAAGTAAACAACCGATTATTTCCCAGATGGGGTACTCGCCTTAACTCAGTGGCTAATTTTACCTTATTGTCACAAGGTAGCCAGGAGGAAAGCCTATTTTTATGTACTCTTCTGAACTCTACAAGACGATTCTTTTCCAAGATCCTTTTAAAAAAGCTCGTACTTTTTGTTTTTCCAAAGACTCTTGCAAACACGCATTTCCTAGCCAGCTTTTGCCACGTCAGGCCCCCTCGTCCGCATTTCATTCCCAAAATGCTCCCTGAGCACAAGGATCTAGCAGGTAAAGACTACAGTACTAGGAACAGGGTTCTACAGTTTCCAAAGACCAAAACAGCTACCAAATACAAAAATTAAAGAGACAGAGATGGGTCAACAGAAGTAGTGTCCATCTGCCTCTTCTCTAATGTCTTTCTCAGCATTTGTTGCTTTGATCACATCAAAGCCCTTTGCAAATGACTGGCAAAGTGTATTTCTACCATTTTCCCCTTATTTCCTCTGAAAAGTAGAAATAAAATTAAAATAATGGGTTTAAAGAGAGGTACAAGAAAATAAAATCCTAGTAATAATAAAGATGTTTATTACACTACTCAATGCCATGCAAATACCATTTTGTTCCCCTTTTCCCCTGTGATGCTGTGACCATGACTCTGTATTCAGGGCCCCCGCTGATACACATGGGATGTTTTCATTGAACTTAACTCCTCAGGCAGTTGGGAAGGGCCACTAAGAAACTCACAATCTAGCCAGTTTCAGAGTATTGATCTCCTAAGGTAAATTATTAAAAAAAATTTTTTTTTTCATCTTCTGTGAAACCATCAAGTAAAAATATTTGTTCTTTTCTTCTAAGCCAGTTTACACTGTGGTCACAAACACACCATTATTTAAGGATTCCACCCACATTTTTTTATTCATAATTTTTGGGTTTTTTTAGAGAGTCTCGAACTGTGAGGGTCACATACTGGACTTACAATGTGTTTAAAATAATATGTGCACTGTATTATATCATTGAAATTCGGTAAGACAAAAGAACTTAAATGTTCTCACTAAATAAATAAAGTGAGGCGATAGATGTATTAACTCATTAGATCCTTTCACAATATATATGTATATATCTTTCAATTGCACCTCAATAAAGCTGAAAAATACATATATTAAGAAATACACATACCTATGTATTACCATAAAAATTAAAAATTAAGTAGAATATAGTAATGTGTAATACAAGGCTACTGGCCTGAACATGGAAGACTCTCATCACCTAGAACCTACATATTCCACAGTTTCTATAAGATCTCATTAATTATATTTATAAAGTCATACAACAACCTAAGATTAACATGCCGCAAGTAAAAATTTTGTTATCATCATGTGTCTCATTTTCTGCTATCTTAAAGCACTTTCCACTTCTACTTAAGCAAATTATTTCTATGTCATCAATGAAAGGTAGAAAAATGTGTATTTTAGGGCAGAAGCCTGTCGGCCTGTACGGAGCTGCCAATGTCTGAGAATCTTCCCTCTGCATTTTGCTAATTAGAAAACTAAAAGTAATCTCCAGCAGAGTGTTGCAGCCTCCTTTCCCAGGGCCTCCATCCACCACAGAGATGTGCACGGGGTATTTCTGACCAAAAGCAAAGCTCTGCTTGTAAAAACATCCCCATTTCCAGGATATTACACACTCACCAAAAGAAGGGCTTTGCCAGGTTAAACTGTAATTAACAAATAATAAAAACAGATTCTTCTCTGAGATTTTTATAAAACTGCAAAGCAGATTTTCTTTTCTGATAGTATTTAGGAAAGAAGTTTGAGTTAAGAAAGAACAGCAACCAACCAGAAAGTATGAAACCCTCCTAAAACTGAATTAGGCTAGTGAGTTTATTCTGGGAAGTTTAATAGTTTAAGTTTAATTAGAAAAACATGCTAAACACTACATTCCTACCGTAATGTTTAGCTTGTTTTTCTAATACTTCAAACTGATTTAAAAAAAAAAATGGTTTGGATTTTTAGGAGCTGGTCAAAATGATCCGTGACACAGAATTACTGTATTACTTTTACCACTACTATGACAATTTATTTAAAACTGGAGTTAGAACAATAATAATAATTGGATAATGTAGCCAGAAAAGAAAGAGCTGAAATGATAGGAACGTAAGACCTAAGAGATACAACAATAAAGCAAACAGCAACTGAAGTAACACGTATAAAAAAGGAAAAAAATTTTTAAAAAACGTGAATTACAAAATGTGGAAAAAACATTTAAGAGGTAAAAAATATTCACATTAGAACTGAAAACTAAAGGAGATAAACATCTTAGAGAAAAGAAGGTTTCTAAGAAGCTAAGGACATTTTCTAAAGTTTGCAGGTGTTTCTAACACTAAAATTTAAGAGACTGACGTCACCAAGATGGGCGAATAACTAACTACGATCTGAGAACGAGACAGCACTGAGAGGACCTAGAACACGGGAGTGAGGTTGAGGCATCCTCGGCACTACAGGGACCAAGGCAGACTGACTGCATCAGAGGACTGGATGTTAGCTGCGCCCACTGTAGTAATCATTTCATTTCACGATCTGTGTAAATCAAACCATCATGCGGTACACCTCAAACTTACACGGTGATGTACATCAACTATTTCTCAATGAAACTAGGGGGAAAAAAACTAAGACATGAAAAGGCTCAGTAAAAAAAAGCAAAGATAATTTAAACTTGAATTCTTGTACCACTTAAAAAAAAAGAGGCAGATATCTCATTAGTAAAATTAGGGTGGGACAATAAAATTCTGAACAAACTGCAATTTAAATTTCTTTCATAGAATGAAAAATAAATATTCAATTGCACCCCTTTGCTTACCTTCATTGTCATGAAATGACCTTTTTGTTTTTTGTTTTTTGTTTTTTGCTCTGATATGGTTGTAGATTAAACTGTCTTCCAAAAATATGTATTGAAGTCCCAACCCTGATACCTTAGAGCATGACCTTATTTGGAAATAAGGCCCTTACAGATGTAATCAGTTAACATGAATTCATTTGAGAGTAGAATGGGCTTTTGGTTCAATATGACTGGTGTCTTTATTAAAAGAGGGGAATGTGGACACAGCAACAGGGACACAGGGAGAAATGCCATGTGATGTTGGAAGCTGGGATGGGAGTAAGGTCAGCAAGGACTGAAGGTCTCTCCTCCAGAAGCTGGGAATAGGCAAAGAGGATCCTCGAGAGTCTGGGAGGGATCCGGCCCCTGCTGGCACCTTGATTTTGAACTTCTATGAGAAAATGGATTTCTTTTGTTTAAAGTCACCCCGGGTCTACGGAACTTTGTCATGACAGCCCTGGGAAAGAAGACAGTCACTGTGTCCTGCTGCAAACCCAAGAAAACAATCTAAACAACAAGCGTTGGGGGGGCAGGGTCGGTGCCACCAAAAACTTACCTGCAACGTAGTCGCCAAATCCAATGGTCGTTAGAGTGATAACCACAAAATAAATGGCGTCCAGGGCACTCCAGCCTTCTATGTGCTTGAATATGATCGCAGGCAGAGCAACGAAGAGGACACAGCCAAACAGTATAAATATGATTGTTGAGATGATGCGAATCTTGGTCTGACTCACATTCCACTTCTAGGGATGAGAGAGAGAGAGAGAGAAATAGACTGAGATCGATCACTGGTGTACCTGCAGAGTAAACCCATAGCAAATTAGCAAATGAGAATGGAATTTTATTCCCTTTAATACTTAATTTTCAACTGTCTTTACTTGTAAATATTGAGTATAACATGAATAACTGAAAACAATCAGTGCTAATAATGTTGCTACTTTGCCCTTACATAGCTTTGCAACAGGTAAGATATTTTCTAAAGCAAATTACATTTGACTGGAGAAGCAAATTTCAGATTTACATCATTCTTTGTTTACCTAAACCACTTTTGAAATATTTCCATTCTGTAGGCATAACATCTGATTGTGGGCCAAACACAATCTAGAAATAGATGAAAACGGAGAAAACTAAACTATGAATTAAATATTTACTGTTGATAAATGATAAAATCATTAATTTCATGAAGACTTTCCCCTCTTGCTCCTACCAGATTTTCCTTTCATTCTTCAACTGATTAAAGTGAAATACTACCAGACTTTAAAGTCCACAGTTGGTTCCCAAGTGAACCAGATGAATTCTCTTTGTTCTGTGGCCTTAAGTCATACAACTAAATACATCAGACATGCTATGGAGGCAAGGATACGTCTTCAGCACCCCTATGCTACAGCTCCCTCAGAGTCCCCATATTTTTTCACCTCTTCTTACCAGGAATTTCCGCAGCATAACATAGGAGGTGAAGTCCATACACACAGATCTCCTTTTGAGGTCATCACCATATATTTTCATCTCTAAGTGAATCTGTCCTATCTACTATGAAAATTGTAGGTCACATCCCCACCATAGAAAAATCACTGAATTTTAGAGCTTGAAAATTTTCTAGAGATCAAGATCTATGAAACCATACAATGGGAAGTGAAAATAAAAGTTTCTCTAGTTCACCATCCTTATCACATATGTGAGAGTTAAATGAATTCATGTTTGTAAAGTTTTCAAAACAGAGTTGACTATGAAATGCTGAATCTTGACCACTGGAATATATTCACTACCAGGGCATCTGTTTTAAGCCCTGATGTGGATGCAGCATGAAAAACTCTCCAGCATCCAGCAGGCAGTCAAAAATCTGTTGAATGAATGACTGAAGAACAATTCAGCATTACCAAGTTTGTGCCACTAATCTGCCCTCTCAATTAATACAAGATACTTTTAATATCAATGTAAGAAAAGTATAATACCAGAAAAAAGGGTAAAATGCCTATGCTGGAAGAACCATGCCTATTCCACCCTCACAGTAAAAATATTTAAGAGTTAACTTTGAACTTAATGTGAAACATATCTAATGCTAAAACTGGAATTATAATTTAAATTAAAAAAACTAATATTCAGTGGTCTTATTTTATCAGTAGAGTTCAATGTAAAATACTTTGTTGAAATTTTTGTTAAAAGATACAACATTATTGAAGAGAAAATAAAATGTAACAGTAGTGGCAGCGGTAACAAATCATTTATAATCTCACCCTCTAACACAATTGTTTTCTTTATCCGTAATTTTTTTCAAGAATAGAAGCTTGTAATCCTGATGATACTGTTTTCCCTTAAAATTCTAACCAGAGCATTTTAATTTTAATTATTTATTTCCCTACTGAATATAAAATAGCCATGAACATCTTCATGCATATTGCTTTTGGTTCTACTGAATGACATCCCTGAGATAAATTTCTGTCGATGACATTACTGAATCAAGTTATATGACCCTCTTTATCATGTTTGCTGTATATTATTCTGTCCTTCACAAAAGGGCTATGTAAAGTTTAAAATGCTACCAGCAATGAACAAGGGCACCAAAGTGATTTTTAAATAAAATGTCATTCACTTACTAGCTAGGTTAAGCTTTCACATCTAATATCTCCAACTCTCAGAGCAATGCCTCATCATCAGTACCATTATTCACATTCTACAGATGGCAAAATGAAAAAAAAATGAAGACAAATATATATGTATGTATATGCATGACTCGGACACTGTGCTGTACACCAGAAATTGACACATTGTGATCGTACTTCAACTTAAAAAAATGGCAAAATGGAGATTTAAGGGTAAAATAACTAGTTTAAATGAATAAAGCTAGAAGATGATACATCTAGAATTTGAACCTATGACTTTTTTCCTGTTTATTTTGCTTTTTCTCATTCATTAATGTGTTTATTCAGAGAAATATAAAAAAACTAGAAAGTGAGTTACTTGCAAATAGAGGCACATATAATTTGTTATAAAAAAATAACTAAACGTCTAACTATACCTGAAGTGAACAGAAACATTTATAATATTTTTAAAAATTAAGCAATTAACATATGTAGTTAAAAGACTATTGCACTCACAATAAAAGTATCTTCCACTTTTGCAATTCCTTTTCCAAATATGGTCCCTAGTTGATCTCCAACTCCGGCCAACAGAAAACCGAAGAGGGGAATTCCCAGTAAGGCATAGATGATACAGAATATTTTTCCCCCTTCTGTGCGTGGTGAGATGTTTCCAAATCCTAAAAACAAAAAAAGAATTCAGTTGTTTATAAATGGGTGATAGTTTAAAACATACGATCTCAAGCTTGATTCAGAAATTCCAAATGTTGTATCAATTCTAGATTTCAACTAATTAAGAATCCCTTTATACCACATAAGCTTTTAATGGAAAATTCTCGTATAAACAGATATTTTAACAATCCATAAGTTATAGCTAATGTTCCAATTAAACTGGATGATTGAAATTGAGGGAGTAACATATGCAATGAAGTCACTATTTTCATTAAATTAACTCCTATCTTTCTATACTGATAATCCTGTTGACTACGAAGCTTCCATTGCCATTTACTGAGAAGAGTGTCTTGCCTTAAGAGTATTCAGATATGCTTAAATTATTTAAAAAGTTTAATAACTTTTAAATTTGGGTTTCATTCAAGTACCTACCAGGAAGTAATAAATAAAAACTAAAAATTATCAAAAAATTTTTAAAGTCCTGAGGATTCTTAAGGCTTTCCAGTTTTGCGTTAAGGATGGTCTCTACTTGTTATGATTAAATCAGCTCAGTTCCCCCTCTTTTTCCTAATAACAGAAGCAGTGTCTAGAAATATGTTTGCGGTAAAGAATGCACATCTTCTAGAAGTATACAGAGCACCTATGTGAGCCTCTCATTGTCCTTCATATTATATTAATCTGGAATTTTAGTTTTAATTTCCTCTTTTACTCAAGGCTGTGGATGGATATTTTAAGATTGTTTTTTTCTGTTGCTACTTTCTAGTTTTATGACTATTAACAGTCGAACAGTATGGTCTATATGATTTTTACTTGTTTGGAATCTACTGAGATTTTCTTCCTGGCTTTACAATGGCAATTTTTGTATTCGCTTCACTGTTCTTTGAAAAGAATATGGGTGTTCTATTTGTCGGGTACAAAAAGAACACATATGATCAAGGGGCTTCATGTCACCTCTCCAAATCCATTCCTAATGTGGTTCTTCCACAACACCTTCCTCGGGGGAGGTGGGGAGAGGCTAATACTTAGTCCCTTTCGCCCATTCATTTTTTTCCCCGTAACAGTTCCATCTTCCTCTTCTTGCTTCTGCCAGTTTGGTGTTCATTGCTAGTCATTTCATCTATTGAGGGTTTTTTTCCCCCAAATGTATATAATTTTTCAAGAACTTTTGCTTTTTTCATTAGCCTGTTCTTATGCCATGAAAATAATAATTATATTCATTTCTTGGGGATTTCTCAATGTTGTACCATATATTAACTCAGTTCCTTAAGAGAAATTCTAGGCTTCCTTGATTTAGGCGAATTGCTTCAAGTGTTTGAGCATTCCTAGTCGTATTTTCATACACATAAGTATACTATAAAAACAGATTGGTTAGTATTTGTGGCAGAAATGTATTTCCCAGCCTCAGTGAGAATCGTGGTTGCTCTGGTGGTACATGTAAGAGTCTCTTCAAACAAGTGGGCTGCAGTAATGTGTTGGCCAGAGAGAAGGGGACCAGGGTCTGACTGGGCATTTCATTCATTGAACTGATGTGGGTGTGCCGCTCACATAATTTGAGAGCAGGGTCTCCTAATTCCTCACGGCAGCCTCCAGGTCACAGCTGCCTGACTGCTTCTCAGGCCCGCTGGCTGCTTGAGGAAGATCTGTCACACAAGTCTTTGAAAACCTTGTATTCACAGCTTTAGTCTGGAGGCAAAGGCTGGAGACAGCTATTGTGAAGTCAGGATTAGCAGTTCCCCCAAACTTTGATTAGTTTACAGGCTACTGCTCATGGGCTCACGTCTGTTTCTAATTTGGATGCCTTTATGAGGTTCCCTTAGAAAACTATTCCTTTTGGACTCTTCCATTTTGCTTCTATGGGGGATGTGGGCTCCTCAATTCAAAATATTTCAGTGTCGATGTGCTCTGCTCACAGAATGAGGAGGGCAGAGGGCCCTGGGTAGAAGGAAGAAGCCTCAAGTCAGGATAAAAAGCCTGCCATGGATGGCACTCCAAGACCTGGGAAAATGGATGGGTATCTATGCATTTAACTCATTTATCTTCCATCTGCTCTCATCTACTAATGCCTGGGAATGCCAAACACCAGGGCAACATGTGCAAAGGTCTCTCCAGAGCAAGTGTGAAAAGGGCCCAGAAGTCTTGTACCAAGGTAATTTGAAGAAGAAAAAGGCCATCCCAAAGGTTATATAGAATATTTAAGCTGGACTATTTGGGACAGTGCACGATTGCTGTACAATATCCAAGAACAGAACTCAACCATCCAACACCATCCTCTGTTCTAGCATTAATAAGCAGAGTACCAAGAACAAGAGAGCCTTGTGAAGTCAGCAGGGGGGACTGTTTTGACCTGAGTCCTCTGATTATTCCAGAGAGTCCTGCTAAGATCCAACACTGTTCTTTATTGTCTCCCCAGATGAAAAACCACGTGGCCTGAGGTAGGGCAGGCCTACACCATCCCACTTTCCCTTTTTGCATAAGAGGACAAATCTCTTCAGAGGTATATCCATAAGAAGTAACCTACCTCCAGGAAGGGTCAAGGATCAAAAATAAAAGGTACAACTTTTAAAAAAAAATTCTGACTCTGGCATCACTATACATAGCCTAGCTGTCGGAGGGCTCAATTTGATCTGCTCCACAAAAGTTAAAAGCATAAGAAACAAAGGCTCCAACTTTTCATCCATCACTGACTCAGATTCAGCCCAGAAGCCACTAGAACGTCTTCAGAAAAGCTGACAGAAAATTTCCTCAGGAAGCCCGTTTATATCACCAACGAAATGGCCCCAAGTCCAAAGAATTCTAGACGTAAGGAGAGCAATCTACCTTTCATTGATCAAAAACAGAGACCAGTTCCTTGTGGCATTGTTGTGCTTCATGTTTATTGTCTCCATGGCAAAGTCAGCAGAAGGGAGAATGAAGGGGGTAGGACTGAGGGAACCCGATATGATTCTTTGCTGAGTCTCTGCTGCTTCCCCTTCCAAATATTTCTCTCGACACCATTATGCTGCCCTCTGCGCCCTCGGGGGTGGGACCCCTCCCACAGTCACCCAGCACACACATACAAAGTGACCTAGCAGTTTTCCGACATAAGTAATGCCATCTGCAGCAACATGGATGCACCTAGAAATCGTCATATTAAGTGAAATAAGCCAAACAAAGACAAATGTCATATGATATCTCTTATATGGGGACTCTAAAAAAAACCCAACACGAACTTAATTACAAACTGGAAATAGACTCACAGACATAGAAAACAAGCTATGGTTACCAAAGGGGAAATGGATGGGGAGGAGGGGTACATTAGGAGCCTGGGATTAACAGATACACACGACTATATATAAAACAGATAAACAACAAAGACCTACTATGTAGCACAGAGAACTATATTCAATAGCTTATAATAACCTATAATGGAAAAGACTAAAAAAAGAATATATATATACATAAATAAAACTGAATCATTTTGCTGTGTACCTGATTACAACCTTGTAAACCAACTATACTTCAGTTAAAGAATAAAGAGCATGCCAGCAACTCCCCACACACTTTCCTGGGCGAGAGGATCAAACGGCTGTTCAGGGGATGGTCCTCATGTTTTCTTCCCTCTTCCCTGCGTAAAGTGAGAGTAGGCTTGTCTCCACAGATACGCCACATGTTCTAACCAATGATTAGACAACTCGATACTATTAACGGATTTATGAAAAGTATCCACTGACTCTAAGCAATACAATGTGCTAAGCTTTTCAAAATATTCATCTTAGTAGTTGTCTGGACTTCCTGACCCTTTCCCTGGTTAGTCAGCAGCATCTCCATTGCCTCGGGGTGGAACAGACTGTTTTGGCAAGAAGAAAAATGGGAAAGAAACAATAATAAGTTTTGCTTTTTTTTAACTCCTAAATTAAGGTGTTCATACTCAAAATGCTTCGCCTGAGGAGAGCAGCTGTCAGTTTACGGCATAACATATGCTTCGCAATAAAGTTAAAGGAGTGGCTTTCAATGCAGCTTCCGAAGAGCTTAAGGGAACAGAAAAGACTGAAGACTGACGGGGCCTGACCTTGGAGGAGGTGGGGTGGGGTGTGTGTGTGTTCCAATGGTATCCTGAAGCTGTCTTGAGAGATCAACGATCAAATGCTTGGGAACTTTGCAAGTCAGCTGACTTCGCGTTAATAGCTTGAAATCAACTACCATAGAAATTGGCTGGCACTGCAATTTAGGGCTTTACAGCCCTCAGCCGCCTAATATTGGCCAATACGTTACAGAACAGGAGTCAAATTTAAGAGCCTATGCATAGTCTGTGCCAGAGGTCTGGATGGAAGCTTAACCAATGCCTGTTGGCCAACCCCTGACAGTTACATAAGCGCATCTCCAGAACAGCTATCATCTTGTCTTCACATCACCTTCAGGGAAGGGCCTTCCACAAAAAACTGCTATTAAGTCCATTGTAAGCAGATCACCTAGCAGGAGGGCCATATATGCCACTCCTATCTGAACAGTCCCAGGTGGACTGGTCATTTTTCTGACAGAATTTATTAATACTACAAATAAATAATACCTCCCCTTCAAGAACTGTCCACACTTGCAATTATTTAATTATTTGCAGCAATCCATTTGATGTCTATAGTCCCTACTTGGCTATGAGTTCCATAAATGCAGAGATTGATTTTATTGTTTTTTATATACATATATTATGTATATATATAAGGCTATAATTCCAAAATCTTTCTGGCTTATTAACTAGTGCATTAATGGACAATCAATAAATATTTTTTGACTGACTAATACATGAACCAAAAAAATTTACAAAACTTTAGCAAGAGGGTTAAGAAAACAAAAAATACAGAGAAATGCAATGTTTCTGTGTGAGAACTCATAAAAAATTAAATGTTATCTCCCACCAATTAATAAATTGACTATCTTTCAATCAAAATCTCATAGTTTTTAAAACTGATAAACCCCAAATACATTATTGGTTATGTGTGCTTGAAATATTTACTGAAGAAAATTATTCTAAAGT